CCTCATGGCCTTGAGCACGTCACGACATATTTGGGCAGTTCTCTAACTTAGGGTCCCCTTTTGGGGTCCTCCAAAGAAGGGGGGGGGTGCCGTACTACTGTTGATGATATACACCCTGCATTACCTTAAGGACCCTAAACTATGGGAATTATGGTATATTCCTTACGTTGGGTAATGCAGGATTTCATCAACCGCATTTTGGGGGAACTAGAAAGGGACCCTAACTTAGAGAACTTGCCAGGTAACTCAGCTACAGATCTGGTGGGCTTTCGCCGGACTACGGAGGGCCAAGAGATGATTTCAGCCGGCGAAGATCCATCGGACTCGATCTAAAGTGCAACGAAAACTGGAGCGTTTCTGGATCTGGGTTCGAGAAAAGTGCGGTTGTTCACGGCGAGCCTTGGTTGGCCACTCTTGGAGTAGGCCCTTTCGTGCTATCGCCATAGGCTGCTGTCATCCCTGCTGCCGGTTTGCGGACGAGGCACGCTTCTGGCGGTAGGCCGCCAGGGCCACAAAAGCGTGGCGACTCAGAGGCAGGCTCTGCCGCTTCTGCAGCTGCCGGATCCTACAGAGTTTCGCAAGGTTGCCTTAATAATAGGGTTTCAATTCGAACAAGTAAGGACCCTATTAAGGTCCCAATTGTGACAAGAAAAACGCTCCTCGAAGAGTTGCGTTAGGTTTCATAAGGTTGCTGTACGGGCTGTTGCAAAAAACGCAGTGCCTGGCATACTTGGAGGTTCATGGGTAGTTATAAGTATGGTGAAAAGTCCCCTAATATGGGTTATAACTATAATAATTACCTTACTTATAACCCCACTTATAACTACCCATGAACCTCCAAGTATCAAAGCCCAACTGGCGGCTGGCCTGCAGCAATCTCGCCAGGCATCCAGAATCCCCCGCCGGCGCACATCTTCCACAGCCGCGGCGCCTGGCTTAGGGTTTAGGGCTTTAGGGTTTTAGGGTTTAAGGGTTTAGGGTTTAGGGCTTTAGGGTTTAAGGTTTAGGGTGTTGGGTTTTAGGGTATACAGTCGCAGGTGCAGCTTTTGTGCCTTTTGTTTTCTGCCGTTTCGTCGGCATAAACCTTTCGCCTTCAACAAGACCGATATGACCCGACATGGACGGTGCCGAGGCGCGTAGTGCCAAAAGAGGCCGCTTCTTTGTGCACTCCACTGCATCCTGTCCCGACCAGGAAAAGGATCAGCAGCACAAAGACCCATAGGAGTGAAATGATAAGAGCAACAAAGCAAGAATAAGACATCTTGTACGAGTGATCAGAGATATGAGAACTGAAGGAAAGACGGGAGCATTAAGAAAGGCAACCACGCTTAAGCAATAGAATACCTAGTTGTCTTGAGATGATCAAAATAAACCCAAGCAATGACGACGAAATTTGTGCCAATAAAGTACAAAGGCCCCTGATGGCGATGGTCCAGACGATGATGGCTTCGAGTGCGAGGGAAGATCGTAGGCACGACGACGACGACTACTACTACCACTACTACTACTGCTACGACAACTGCACGACCTGTATCAACAAACTCAGAATCAGAACTGCAAAACAACCTGCTCGGAACAGACCGAAAGCGGTCCCTCCAAGCGCTAAAGGCTGTCCGCAGGCTTCGCAGCTCCCGCTCCAGCACCTCGGCTTAAAGTTCTTTGCAAGTTGGGGGTTAGGCCCGTTTAGGGTCTCGGGTTAAGGGTGGGTATAGGGTTGGCTTTGCTCTCAGATTGCGATTTCAAAAAAAAAAAACCTGGATCAGGATTCCAAGCTGCGGGGCTGGGATTAAGGCTGCTTGAAGCTGCAGTTGAGGCTGGTCCAACTTTCAGCTGAAGGTGCATTCTCGACGTTAAAACCTCTGGGTTCGACTGTCGCAGATTGTTGGAGAAAAACAGAGCCCCAAGCTTCCAAGCCCAAACAAGGCTCCACCATCAAGGTCCAATCCGAGTTACAAAGGCGTTTTAAGCAAGGAATTACATGGGTAGTTCTGTAAATTACGGCCCCTTCTTAGATCCCAAGTATAGTATGAGACACTTGTAAAAAGGATCCTAAAAGGGACTCTAATCTAGAGAACTACCCACATGTAATTATATCTTGCCCAAGGCACAGCGGCCTGCACGACTACAGCGGCCAGGAGAGGCATGGCATTGCAGGGCTCGTGGGATCTTCGCAGGATCTTGGGTTTGTAACGGGGTTTAGGGTTTAGGGCCTGGGGTTTAGGGCTTACGGGTTTGGGTTTAGGGTTTATAAGCAGGCCATATTTTCGGAGACTTACTTAGGAAAGAGTCGTGCCCGTCATAAGTACCGCCATATCCAGGATAACTCCAGCTGATTCGGATACTTAGAACCCCGCATATGACCGTAATACTAAGTCCCATGATACTTCAGATAAGCTTGCTCAGAAGGCCTCTGAAACACAAGCGGGACTATCTCAAGACTTCTGGCAGCTGTCCATCACGAACTCTGCTGTACCTTCCGACCGATAAGAACGGTTCCAAAATTTATCAGGCGTCCACGTGTCAAAGACGCCAGATTGCTCCAATCCTGAGGTCACAAACTTCGCACTTCAGTGCCGGACCTCAGGGTAAACTTGCAAGGCGTGTCCCCGCTTGACACAGCCCAAGCTTGAACCCAATCGGCGGCGTGACGAGGACGCGGTCGCACTTCTAGCAAACGCCCAACAGTACTACTGTATGCTGCTCGTCATCAAACGACGTCCCTGCATGAGCTCTCAGAGACTCTGACAGTGCTCTTTCGTCAAAGCCCCCCCTAAACCCTAAACCCCCAAACCCTAAACCCTAAACCCTAAACCCCCAAACCCTAAACCCTAAACCCCCCTCCCATGTCTGCGCCTGTGCTTGCACGTGTGCTGTGAGCAGATGGAGACAGCCAGGCCCTGGCTAGGAGGGGCCACGGTTTAGGGCTCTAGGGCTTTAGGGCTTTAGGCTTTGGGCTTTAGGGCTTTAGGGCTTTAGGGCTTTAGGGCTCTAGGGCTTTAGGGCTTTAGGGTTTAGGGCTTTAGGGTTTAGGGGCTCTAGGGCTTTAGGGTTTAGTTTAGGGCAAATATGATTAACGCACACAAGACAAGATGCAACAGACACAGTGTCAATCACTGGGTCGAACTGTTACCTCTGCTGCGGGTTCAAAAACCGAAGACGGCAGAGACAGCTCAAAAAGATGTCCAGCCGATGCTGATGATGCTCGCCCTGTGGTTCCTCTCACTGCGTCCAATGACTGGGTCGAACTGCTACTCCTCAGAAAGAGAGAGAGGGCGAGAGACTTGAAACAAATTGAAGGCTAATTCTTGTGATGATCGTTTCGTTCTTTCGCCGAATCCGTTCGAACGGCTACCCCCGCTTCGGGTTCAAAGACCTGGAGATAGGAGAGAACGCATAGAGTTCAAAAAAAACAGCTGATGCTGACGATGCTGGCGCTTTGGGCCCGCTGAATGCGCACAGTTGACCGGGTCGAACGGCCTCCCCTGCTGGGGGTTCAAAGGCCCGGAAACAGAAGAGGCCGCGCGACAAGATTTCCAGCTGATGCTGATGATGCTCGCCCTGTGGTTCTGCTGAAACCGTCCAATCCCTGGGTCCAACTACTATCCCGGCATTGGGTTCAGAGGTTCGCAGGTAGGGGAGACAGCTCAAAAAGATTTGCAGCTGATGCTGACGATGCTTGCCCTCCGGTTTCGGCTGAAGCCGTCCAATCACTGGGTCGAACTACCTACCTCTGCTCTGAAGATTCAAAACCGGAAATAGGGGAGACAGCTAAATGCTGATGATGCGGGCAGAGAGTTGAAACAAATTGAGCGCTGATGCTTGCGATGCTCGTTGTGGTCTTTCGCTGAATCCGTTCAACTGAGGCGAACTGCTACCCTCCTGCTGGTTCCAAAATCAGGAGATAGGAGAGACGGCTCTACAAAGGATTTCCAGCTGATGCTGATGATGCTCGCGCTGTCGTCCCGCCAAACCGTCCAATGTCTGGGGAAGATCCCCAGCTGATGCAAATGATGCTCGCCCTGTGGTTCCGCTGAATCCGCACATTGACGGTTGATGGGGTCGCACTGCTACCCTGAAGAGAGACGGCTCTAAACAAATTTCCAGCTGATGCTGATGATGCTCGTTTTGTGGTTCCGCCAATTCCGCATGTTGACTGGGTCGCACTGCTACCCTGCTGCTGGTTCCAAAATCAGGAGATGGGAGAGCCGGTTCTAAACAGGATTTCCAGCTGATGCTGATGATGCTCGCGCTGTCGTTCCGCTGAATCCGCACATTGACCAGCTGATGCTGATGATTCTCGTTTTGTGGTTCCGCCAACTCCGCATGTTGACTGGTGCGAACTGCTACCCTGCTGCTGGCTCATAACAGGAGATAGGCGAGAAGGCTCCAAAAAGGATTTCCAGCTGATGCAAATGATGCTCGCCCTGTGGTTCCGCTAAACCCGCACACTGACTGGGTCGGACTGCTGGTTCAAAGGTCCGGAAATAAAACAGACGGCTCTAAAAAGACTTCCAGCTGACGCTGATGATGCTTGTTTTAGGGTTCCGCTAAATCCACATGTTGACTGCTATCCTGATGCTTCCAAAATCAGGAGAGAGGAGAGACAGCTCTAAAAAGAGTTTCAGCTGATGCTGATGATGCTCGCACGTGATCCCGTCCAGTGACAGTGAACTTGCCCCTGCTGTGGGGACCAAGGGCCCAGACGATAGGAGAGACATCCCTAAGAGGATTAAGGGGCAATATAATATAACCCTTATATACCCCTTATATAGTCTCATACAGCCCCTACAAACAACCCCAAGGGTCCCTTTAAGGGTTCAAACAGATTTCCAGCTGATGCTTGCGCCGCGGTTCGCTCGATCTGCTACAGCCAGTCACAATAGCCGTTCAATAGCCGAGACACCTCCAAGCGATACTCCCCAAAGGCACATGGCCCAACTGGGTGGCGGATTGAGGGCTTTGCGTCGAACTACAGAACTACGTACATCCGAATTCCCCACCTCACGCCCTTCGCTGGTGAGGCAGAGACTGCCCGCGGTGAAGTCAGCGGTTCCACCTGGGGCTTAGCTTCGGAAGTATTTCCTCAAGACTTTCTCCGCTGTCGCGGAGAGATTCACTTGTTGACCTGATTTTTCGCGACGTCTACTGGATTTGTGGTGGCTGCTTAGATTCTGGAGCTTGGTGCAACTCTTATGTGTCGTCTGGAGGTGAGCCAAAAGCTGGCATGACTGTGCGGCGCAGCCTGCATGGGAATAGACATGGGCGCGCTGCGATTGGGCGTCAGGGACCTCGACAGCGGCGGTGGCTCGCCATTTTATGCTACACTTGGAGGTTCATGGGCAGTTATAAGTGGGTTATAAGTAAGGTAACTGTAGTTATAACCCATATTAGGGGACTTATAACCGTACTTATAACTACCCATGAACCTCCAAGCAGTCTTCTATTCTATTGGATTGATTGCTCTTGCTGCACTGTTTGATGACACCAGCCCCGGGCCGGGAGAGGACGTCCATGGGATTCGCCTGGCAGTGAGTAGCAGCTGAATAGCAATAGTCGTAGCAACAGTGACAACAGTAGCCATTCTGTCTTGTAAACCCGCGGCTTTGGCTGCTGGTGGTTGTGAAAATGCTCTACTGGAATACGTCCAATTTTGAGCTGCAGCGGTCCAGCTGTAAACTGTAACGAACCGCGCAGTTGGATTCAGCGGTGAAGTAAGTCTGATTGAATCCCCAAAAGTAGCTAAAGGCCACGACAAAACAAGAGATGTGGATCCGATGGGGACAACTTCCCATGTTTCGGAAGCCCCACAAACTTCATGCTAAAAGGCGCTGGCACGACCGCAAGTGCAGGAACCAGTGTCGACATAGCCTGACGCAAGACCCAGTGGAAAGGCATCAGAGCGAACGACCTCACCTGCCTCGCTTCGGACCCACTTCGCTTCCGATCTTCCGCGCGGAGGCGTGGCCTTCAGAGGGAGTGTGAGGAGCCAGAGGAGCCAAGGCATTGCTGGGCTCCCTGGCAGAGGCCGTTCGCACGTAGGGGTGCGGAGGTGTCGCCTGAGTGAGCAGAATCTCGTCTCCCCGGTGGATCTCACGCTGTCACTGGTGCTCGGCTCACCGAGGAAAAGGCCGAGATCTCCCGTCGGGCATAGACCGGAGCGGTCTCTGGAAGCCGTCCGCGATGTGGCGCTGGTGGCGTTGCCTGCAAGGCAGCAACGTTCCTCATCTTTGTTGGTGCGGAGTCGCACGGTTTTTTCGCACCTGGCCAGGCAGCAAAGGCGTCGCATAGACGGCAGCTGGACTTCTCAGCTGCCGCGGGGGTGTCGCAAGGACGGTCTGAACCTCTCATGCCACGCTGCGGTTACGAAGGTGGGACAGCAGACTTTGCAATGCATTACCTGCATGACTGAAATTCGATCGATGATCTACTACGATACTACGACCTATGCTGGTAGTGAGTTCAACCTCCCTGTGCGAAACCTCATGCGGCCGTGGCAAGGTGGACTGGTCGTAAATGACACGCGTCCTGACGAACCCATGCAATGGCTTGGGGCTGCAACTTTGTTGGGGGGCCCCAGTGTATAGGGTCTCGCGGGTATATATTGAAGCATAACGTTAACCAGCCAAACAAATGTAAACGGGCAAGAGGCCTTTTCGGATTTGACCAACTCGAACTGGGAGTACAGCGGGTTTATTTGTGTGTGTGTGTGTATGTATATATATATACATATATATATATATAGAGAGAGAGAGAGAGAGGGTTTGACCTAAAGAAGAACTCTGAATTTATGTCAACCGTCCTTGCGGAAAGCTGCGGCGTTGACGCCTTGGCACTTAATTGCTGCATCTCTCCTGAACCGACATGCTTCGTGCTCCACATGGAAGTCTCCAAGCACACGCACGAAACGCACCATCACTACAGACTGAGGCAATCCTGGAACCAACGAATGCTCTAGCATTCAGGCTCCCTTGTACACGTGCTGCTACTCCTCTTATTGCTGACTGCAGGAACAAACAAAGCAAGATCCCACAAGCCCAAAGCCCCACCAAAAGAAACAAAACCGAGCAAGATCCCGCAACCCCAAAGCCCCACCAAAAGACAAAACAAAAGCCGAGCAAGACCCCTAAACCCGAAACCCACCCAAAGAAACCAAAAAACCCTAAACCCTAAACCCGGAAACCTAAACCCTAAACCCGAAACCCACACTGCCAAGCTCCCGAGGACCCCACGGCAGTGCGAGGAGACTCCGCCCAGCGCCTCGGGGCTGCACAACTCTGGGATAAGGTTTAGGGTTTAGGGATTAGGGTTTAGGGCTTGGGGTTTAGGGATTGGGGATTAGGGTTTTGGGTATAGGGTTTAGGGATTACGGCTTACAGGTTTAGGGCTGCAGCTTAGGTGTGAAGTC